CGGCACTGCGAGTATCAGATGTTTATAATTTTTAAAAATGTAAGTGACTCGTGATTTATTTCTATTATTTTGTTCATCAAATTCAATAAAAAAAATTATTAGTTCGTTGATATTTATTTTTTAGAGGTCGCTCGAAAACAGGTAGGTACACTACTTTGAAAATTAAAATAATTATTAGTGACATTTAGAAATTAAAACATCGATTTGAAATTTTCAGAATAGAGATTTTTTTCAACCTAGAAAATGATAAAATAACGAGAAAAAAAAAATTTTTTTTTAAATTCAATTTTTGACGATTTTGGAAATTTTTAAAAATCTTGAGCGACCTCGAAAGAATTTTTTTTGAGCTGATTTTTTGAGGGGGCTCTTAAAACATGATAAACTAACATATTTTCACAAGAGACACGAAAAAAAAATAGTTTATATAGTTTTTTTTTTTTGGGCCGCTCGAACTTGGGCCGACTTTGGGCCGACTTAGAGGTCGCTCGAAAACATAGGTAGGTACACTACTTTGAAAATTTGAACTTTGAAAATTTGAACTTTGAAAAAGACACGAAAAAAAAATAATCGATTTTTTTTACCCACCCTAAAGTATTTATATAAAAATCATACATAATAAATTTTATATTATTAATATACAGGGTGTCCCAGAATAACTTGTACAACAGAAGATCACAGATTCGTGGAATCAAAATAGGCAGATTTAGGCTAATTCACCTATATCCGAAATTGCTTTGTTTGGCCGCTAGATGGCCTCAAAGTACGTGAAAATTTTTTGAATTTTGTAAATAACGAAACATTATTCGATTTTGATAATTTTTGGGGTGTAGACTTTTGCTTTCAATCTACAAATTTTGATGTTACAAAGTGTTTTTCAAAACACACAACTACAAAATTGATGTATGGTAATAATATCCTCTTTCGGGCAAAAATGACAACTATTTTTTATTTGATGTGTGACATCATTTGGAAGTTTTTGGGTCCCTTGTAGAATTTTGATTAAATGAGCGGTTTGGGTTTACTGAATGATCCCATTCCATACACACTCCTGTACACGTCTAGCTTCCGCCTGAACTAGAATAATCAAGATATCCTGTACAGTTTTTTAAACTTGAAGTGTCGAAGAAATATGAAAAATGGGCAGTATAATGTGCCCTGACGCGAACAAATATTGACGCTACAGAAATAGTAAAACAAATCGTATAGCTCCTCGCGCTTGCCCGAATTGTCGGTCGAAATAATTCGCGTCGATTTAATGAGAACGCAGGTATTTTATTTTTACTGTTATTGGGGAATTTAATTGCATCGGCCGCCACCGGAATCCGGAGACACATCCGGATCCAATTTGTTTTGCATTCGATTAATTACGCGGTCGCCGATTAACAATTCGGCCGGACTGGGCTCGACCGTGTACCGTGGGTAGCCTAAAATAATGATTTTTTTACTTAACTGACAGCAGCGAGTCATTGTCTAACCATGTACGGATTAACCGATATAACTCAACCCAAAATAGATATTTTAGATGTACCTAATGTAGCTACACTGGGAAAAGACGAAGTTGGCAGCTACTTCCGGTACAAACGGAAGTGCTACGGCGATTGCATTATTTTCATTGAAGAGAGCATCTGATAACCAACCCCCGTTAAGAAAATTTCAGTCATATTATTTTTAGTTTCTCTGAAATGATTTGGGCCACTTACAGTGAAGAACCCTGTATAATGGTTAACGCATAACGGCTTATTTGAAACAAAAACATAACAACATACGTAGAATGTAAAGGTTATGCGACAAATTCAAAATATACCTTTTATAACCACAGTAACAAATGAAAAATCATGTTATATCTGTCGTAATACCAACGAAATTATCGTACACGCCCCGTACAACTAAACCGTCCCGTGCAAGGTTAGTTCGCCATAAAAACCCACCTGCCCGTTGTCGGAATCCGCGTAGGCTAGGCTGGCGAGCATAAAACACGCATTGCACAGCCAACTTTAATTGCATCTGCTTCATTAACAAACTGTACATGTTCGTTACAGCTCGTGTCGAACGGTGGCTGCGACAGAACAACGGCCCTAATTTAATAGAAAGGGTACCGGCGGAATACCAGGGGCGTACGATAATTCAATTAATGCTGATACTTTTTACGTTTGCCGGCAACTTCGTTAGGGTTAGATGCCCCTCAGAAATTTAGAGATAGGTACATACCAGCAAATTAATGTTTTTAAAATGTTATTAGTCAAATAAAACAGTTTCAAAATGTTTTTGAACATTTTATAAACGTTTTAGAAATGTTTTAAAACATTGTTGAGGCCGCAGTCTAGTAAATGTAGCCTCATCGGTGAAAAGGATATTATTAAGAAAATCTCGGTTCCATCAGTATCACTTCTACGTAAAATTGACTTGCCTTTTAGATTTTTGACTCACTAGAGCCATATTTCATTGGACAAAAAACCTGTGCTCTGATTTAATGAAGTAAAAGGGTATAACTAACGCCCTGTACAGATAGCGGCAAATTCAGCATCAAATTCGTAATTCTCATCCCAAAAAACCTAAAACTACCAGTTTTCGAGTTGATTCTGCTAATAATTCCAAAATTATTAAGAAATTTCAAATTAAAATTCCAACACAGTCTCGTAAACCTGCAACATTTGTATAAGGCATGTTAAGCTGAATCTGTATTTTGGTGTGTAGAATCTCCAGTTTAGAGATTGCCCATTTTTAATTAATCACCCTGTATACAGGGTTAACTATCACTTAGTACATAAATTTTAACCACGAGCTCAGGAAGGCCTAAAATGTAATAAAAAAATTATTTCGGAATTTTAGCTTGATGTTTAAAAAATGGGGCAAAACCCCCTTTGTTCCCGGTAAATCGGCAGTTATGAACCGTCATCCGACATAATTTCACTCAGCTGTTCGGCAATATTTAGCGGCGTTGACATTTTGCCATTGTAGAAACGACGGAAATAAACATTTTTTATTAATACCTACTTGATAGATGTTAATCCAGATCGTTGCAGAATTTTACATTTGCTCTTAGTTCCGTTGTTGCATACTATTAAAACAACATTTTTGCAGATCCGTTAGGACTACACAGTAACAATAAAATGTCCATTAAAGTGAATCGGAATTTAACGAAAGGAATAATAATCGAAAAATCGGAATGCACTAATCACCCGCGTCTTTAATTTGATGTCCGATATCCGTAGCGGCATTGAATTTGCATTCGACTCTCCAAAAACATCGTAAACAACTGGCCCTTTAGATTTGTTTACATCGCATGTTCTTCACGTACATTATAATTAATCTTGAATTTATTTACTGGGACATTGGAAAACGTATGTGTAATTGCATACATTTCAGTGCCATGATAACTGTAGTGTATGTAAACATAACCTGAAAAGTCTCGAGACACACAAGTTAATCTAGTGGCCTGGATACGTACTGCTGAATATTACAGAAAACTGCAAATACCCCGGGGACTTACAGTTTAAAACAATAGGTACTAATAATTTTATGCGAACATCGACGATTTTTATTTTTATTTTTATTACTAATATCACTATTTAATTCCCGAATAACAAAAGAAGTTTAAAAACGAGATATCTGAAGTGCACCTTACGCTACTTGCCAAGAGATGGGGCTGTTTCAAATGTTCAATAGGTGACTTTACGACTCTATTTTCACAGAACAAATAGCTGTTGAATTCAAATAATTTGTCGCTTTGTAGGTGTTTGTGTTTTTGTTCACGTACTTACGTTTAGTAAGTAATTATTTGTGTTTACTATTATTTATTAGTGTAAAACTCTACAAGGATGTTGAAAACGAATTTTGTAAATAAAAGTTTTTCTTCAAATGCGCGGATAATCGATACACGTGGCAACGCAGCGCTGTTTCACTACCGTAGCCGTATGCGAAATTCACGTCTCGCGTCTGACGGGCGGTCATAGCCGTCGTGAAATAGGGATTTCACTGAGGTTTAGAAAACAAATATTTTCAGCTTTAAAAACAATTTTGGAAATTTTTTGAAGGTCGATTCTGTAAAATCTTATTTTTCTCTGTCCTCACTTAAAATTTATGTACTAAGTGATAGTTAACCGTGTATACACAAATTATAAGAAATTATTTTGTCGTTACGCCTTCATACTGATTCCAAACTACATATTGAATATTTACTTCGTAAAAAATTAATACTGAATTTCTCTGTGGTTTAACTTACTATCGCTTCTTTTATTGTTGGACGTTTTATTAAAAATTGGGTTCAATTCAATTGTTTGATGGTTTTGTAGACATTATTTTTTGAGTTTGAAATTCGCGCGCTGCGTATTCTCCATGGGTTAGTGGTCAGTGTTGTTCCAGCTATTACAGTTGTACTGGAACGACAAAGAAAGGTACAATATTAAAAATTATTATAAAATAGATAACATTAATATTTAATTAACTCAAAGTACTTACCTTAATTTTCTAAGGTTCTTCGCCATGTGTTCTCTCAAAGCCATACGCATAGGTACACGAGGCGACATGCGGCCTCCAATCTAGGCATCCGGCAAACCGTAGTAATATTGCAAAAATGAAAAACAATGGCGAATCTTCACGTTTTATCTGACTCGGATTGGTGATTACGGCGCCATTTGGATTAATTTTTGAAGCGCAAAATTTGAACATATCTACAGTTATAGTTATTCGATTAAAAGTAAATCAATTAAAATTAATCCTGTAAATTCTTTTTTTAATGAAAATGAAATATTTTGCTATAATACCTTGATAATATTACAGCAACATTTAAAATATTGTAAACTTTATTAAATCATCTAAAAACATTTTTAAAATACCTACCTCTATTTCGAGCTCTTAGGAACGAGAAAAAAGATAGTTATGAGTACAATTTATTGTAAAACAACCATACACAGACAGGAATTCTGTTAAAATTCCTTCTTAAAACCTTACAGTACAAATAAAATTAACCTGGTTGAAATTTAATACCACACCGCGGAATACTATGAGGGTTGTTTGCGTACATCCGGATTTTTTCTTTTTAATCCGAAATACTTAGTAAACAAATATTTAACTATATTGAACATAAACATCCAAGACACGACGTATATAGTGAAGGAAAGTGCCACAAAGTCCCAGTCGTTTTTCGGCTGCTTGAAAATAATATACATGTAATACGTCCCAAGAAGTATCCTAATCGCGACGAACACTATTATGAACGTGATTTCGACTGATGTAAACAACGCCGAAGGATACATCCCTTCACTTCTGATGAACCAGCGCATCTGGAGGAACGGATTCGTTATTTCCATACTCCCCAAAGCACAAGTTGCTTGCGCTCCGCTGTACCCCTTGAATAGCATCCTGAACAGGGCAAAAACACTGTAAATGTGATGAGCTATCATCAGTTTATCTTCTCTCTGATATCTGAAGCACCATTCCAAGTCGTGGATGAAATATCCCAGACTGGCCACCAAAACGAACGACTGCATGTACGACGTTCGCCATTCTGGGTGGTCGAAGGGCGAATCGATCAGGAAACACTGGTTGATACCGATGAAGGCGACGAGCAATCCATGTATGAACGTTATGATCCTGCAGCAGTACTCGGGGCTCTTCCTCGGCAGTACAAGACTAATTATGGTGTACCCGAACCTCCACACAGCTGTGCTGACAACAACGGCAAACAGGGACTCGTAATTTATGTGGCCTTGCTTTGTGGCAATGGTGGTAGTTAGATTTTCTGACATTGTGGGTGATGCTCGATGACACTTGAATTTATAAGGTTACATTACAAGGAAGAGTGGCACGTGGAGCTGTAACCACGGTTACGAGACGACAGTTTTTAATGAAAGTTGTCAGAGTGCGGTCGTTTTCAGTATACAGCATTTGAAGCTTTTGGTGAGAGACACAACGTATTGTTAATCATAAGATTAGATTCAGAACAGTTTCTTTGCTTTAACGTAATCTTTAAGTATTTAAATAAACAGTAATGGTTACAAGGTGAAAGAGAATTGACAGTTTGAATTTAATCGCAGAGTTGTCATTCATTTGTCATAAAGCCAAATTCGTTTCATATCTATATTTCATTACCATTGTCAAAAACAGTTTTACTCGGTATAATTACTATTTTTAACCAAATTTTTGTCTCGAGGTGGCTTTAAGTACTTTTATAAATAGCGTTGGTTATATGTACTTAATGAAAAAGAATTGATATTTTGATTTACTTCTAGTGTTAACAAATGTCAAATCGGTCCATCTAGTGTCAGATTTCAGAATTAAAAATGTTTAGCGAAGTGCCATCTATTAGATATTGTCAGTACTAAAATAAATTACTTTGAATTGAGATGTCGTCTATTGCTCTATGCCTATTAATTTTTCTATTCGAACACTATATATTTGTTGTTATTGACCAAAATATTAAACTGCCAACGTTTAAAAATATTTAAATATAACTTGAAAAACGTCGTTGTGTATAACTGGTTGCCTATACTAATGCACTAACAGCTTTTTGACATACTGAGAAGATTGTCACTCGTTTCACTTTTCAGATGTCAAACACCGTAGTCAACAAGGCAGCCAGGAAGAGATATTTCACAAAATCGTTTGAAAAAGTTGGGAAATCCCCACCGTTTGACAATTGTGCTGCAACAACACTCTACACAAGAACTGATTTAACTTCAGGCGAAATGAACTGCAAGAAAGTACAACACTTCAAGAAAACGGTCTTGGTCCCGTTGTGGAAGTTTTCCGTAAATTTCTGTGACATCCTCGGCCTGCTTGATATCCTACCTTGCGGTACCATTCACTCTGTAAAGCCGTACATACACTACACTGTTCAAGTGAATTAATTAAACACGCTTGTTGTTTGAAATTTGTTTCGTTTTCTATTGTCTTACATTTTTATCGCAAAAGTCTGAAAGGGTAGGAGAAGGGGGAGTATATCACTATTAGTAAACTATAAAAGATTATGAAAAAATTGATTTATTTTAATAGCTGTTATTTATTTTATTCTGACATTTTGACATTTTCGTACGAAATCAGTGTCGTCACAATTCAAAAATAATTTAGCTATATTGAATATACGAGTATTAAAAACGTTTCTGTGCCTCATTTCATTGAAATAAAAGGTAGTATATAATAAAAATAACCAAGATGGCATCTGTATAAGTTGATACAACATTTTATTACTTTTCCGTCACAGTATGTCAGAAAATGTTTTGGGCAGCATTATGCACACAACGAAACGTAATCCTTGGTTACAGAACCATCTCTACCGTACTGCCTTATTCACATGCAGCGAAACGACAAACTCTAACAATTGCACATCTTAGCCACAAAAGCAGCCCTTTCATTCAACACATTTTTTTAATAGTCTAGAATTACTAAACATTATTTACATTGTACATTAAAGGCACTAAGGAAAAACAAAAACAAACAAAAAAACCTTTGATTAAAATACTCGAAACAATCCGATAATTACAAAAATGTATTATTATTATATATATAAAAAAGTCTATATATTCTCAAAATACATTTATAAATAGTTAATATCGTCTTTAAGTAACATCTTCGGCATCTTCGCTATTCAACCTTTTCTGACCACGACTTAATACTTGTCTTACGTTTATGTTAATCCTCGAATACGTCAAATAATCGCCGAACGGCTTCCACAAAGCGTCGTCTTTACAGATATTCACCACTTCTCTGTAGTCTTTCCCGATGTAACACAAATCATTCTCGTCGATGGGATCCCAGTATCTCGAGTCTATCTGTAGGATTTTTGGAACTCCGTGATAGGCCAAACGCGATTCTTTACTCATTACGACCATGTCGCCGCTCCTTATAAATATCGGGGTTGGTTTGTCATCTTTCGTATTACCGCCAAGTAGAAATATTGCCGTCTGCCCAAAACTAAAAAGACAAAAAGCTTATAGAAGTGAATTACCTTTTCAATTGGTCGTTACCTAAATGAAAATAAAGGCGCCTCTAGGTCCTTCTCCGAGTGATCCGTATGGCCCGATAAAGTAGAATCCATGTGGTAGTAATTCACGATAGCTGCCTCTGGACTGAAATTTGTATATCCTAATATGCTAGCTACGTACAGGGTCATATCGCTCAAGTCTTTAGGAAATTTGCCTTTATCTTCTTCACTGTATACCTGAAAGCGTATTTAATATTAATATCGATGGAAATAAGTTCTACATCTTACCTTTGTATCCCAGTTGTGATGATAACCTAACGTAACCCATCTGAGTTTATTCATCAGTAAAACATTGTTATTATTTTGGCACATTTCCCACCACTCTTTGTTTTCAGGTACTAAATTAAAAGCATCGATATTTGTTTTGTTCGGTTTCTTTGAGTAATCCTGCAGGCATTTTACTGTCCAATACCTTTGTCCGATACTAGTAAATGGATTTCTAATGAACAACAGACCTACAAACCACATATGTTCAAACAGACTTTCTAACTCACACGACTACACTACCTGGTGTATCCACAATTTCATAAACTTCCCACGTCTTTGGATGCTTGAAACCAAACATTTTCTTCCTTTCCTCGCATTTAATGCTAACTTTTTTTATCTGGAACTACAAAAATACTTTAGTTCTTACACACCATTATATTCATTATGGGTTTACCTCTGTTAAATCGTTTGATTTATTTAAATCTAAAACATTGTCCAAGTTTGGTGGAGGATTTTTCGACTTATAATACTTAAAACTTTGCTTAAACATGATTGAGGCGTTAGTAGTGTAAGGTTTTAATATTGTTTACATTTAAACGTGAAAAATTAAGGTTATAAAATGAAAACAAGTATGCAAGGGATGATGGGATGACTGAAGAAATGTCAATGACACATGACTTTTTGCCGTGCCCTCTGTCGTCATATCATCAAATTAATATCTGTTTGGCAGAGGACGGTAATTTAGAGTGTTTTTTTTCCAACACCCAAATTTTTCTTGGTTTGAAAGATCATTGTGTTTTATTTGATATTTGGGAATTATTTATATATTCAATACTGCTCAAGGTTAAATAAGGATAATTATTAAATAAGCTGCTTGTCTAAATACAAAACCACGAAGCTTTAGACTTTTTATCTATGCTTTAGACACATCCTATGATAACACGTTTCAAATGCAGATGGAGCTTAATTTGTAAATGTCAAGTGGCAGCACTGTGGGTGGCATCGTTGAATAAATTGTCACATTCTGTCAGCTGACTTGGGTCCCGTGAAATTTTTAATTGTGAAAATACTTTTAAAACATGTCGTCCAGGGATAGGTTACCGATTTTCCCTTCTAGAGGGTGAGTTTTTGTATTAAAAAAAATAAAAATATTTTGTCAAATAGGCAGTTTTAAAGTAATTTTTATATTTCATAATTTAAAAAATATGGGAGTGACCTAAAATTATTACTACTCTTGCTTTTAGAGCCCAAATGTTAATGAAAGCTAGGCTAAAGGGGGCTCAAAAGGGACACAGTTTGCTTAAAAAGAAAGCAGATGCCTTACAAATGCGTTTTCGTATGATTTTAAATAAAATCATTGAGGTATGAACAGAAACCCACTTCCCTCGTTTAGTTCCTTAATCGAATGTAATTTTCAGACCAAAACTCTAATGGGAGAAGTAATGAAAGAAGCTGCATTTTCTCTAGCCGAGGCAAAATTCACAACGGGTGATTTCAACCAAGTCGTTCTTCAGAACGTCACTAAAGCGCAGATCAAAGTTAGAACAAAGAAAGACAACGTAGCTGGTAAAATGTTATGTTTTTCTAGTAATCGAAATCTAAAACTAATATTTTCAAGGTGTAACTTTGCCCGTTTTTGAGTGCTATCAAGATGGTACCGACAGCTACGAATTGGCCGGTTTAGCTAGAGGAGGCCAGCAGCTAGCCAAGCTGAAGAAGAACTACCAAAGTGCCGTGAAACTATTGGTGGAACTGGCATCCTTACAGACTTCGTTCGTTACCTTAGACGAGGTAATTAAGATTACCAACAGAAGAGTGAATGCAATCGAGCACGGTACGTTACTTTCGGCAGTGATTACTAGAATAAACCGAATTTCTATTAATTTTCAGTCATAATTCCAAGAATTGAGCGCACCCTGGCCTACATTATATCCGAACTCGACGAATTGGAAAGGGAGGAGTTCTACCGGTTGAAGAAAATCCAGGACAAAAAGAAAATTAACAAAGCCAAAGCCGAAAAGGCAAAGGCTGAATTGATCGCGGCGGGACGCCTAAAAGAGGCTATGCTAGAAGCCAGTAATTTGTTGGACGAAGGCGATGAGGACCTGCTCTTCTAATGCCTTAAATGTAAGACGTTATTAAAAAAATTGTACATTTTCTTTATACAGATATATTATATTGATATTAAATCGTGCAGTATTTTGTTATTAATTTGATTTCGTGGGTTCTTTTGATCGTTTTGAGGGTTAAGGAAGGGAAAATTTTAAATAGTCTAGTAATTGTGCAGAAAATCATTTATTCCATTATTGTTAAGTGTTAGAGATAAGGCTCATGATACTGTTATTGTATTATATAATTCCTGTGCCCCATTTAATACATTTAGATGTATTCCAAATAAAAGTTTGGAGAAAATAGTTTTTTTTTTATTTTTTATATTTTCAGTTTTACTGAAAAAATTTGTTTAGTTCGCTTTATCCTGGAACTAACACGAGTTAAATGGTTTATCAGAGATCACCAAAATGAACTTTTAACTGCAAGACCACCAATACTCAACCTCTATGTTCTCAATTTTTTACAATGTTTACTAGACCTGGATCTAGGGGCGAGCTATTGGGGCTATAGCCCGGCCACCTCACGAGATCGGGGAGCCTGGCAAGATTTGGCAAAATGAAATTAAAATGTGTTCAGGTTTTTAAATCTTTTCCTGGTACGTCACTTTTCAGAATTAGGTTTCGAAATTTTCAAATTTTATATTGATAAGTTGATCATGTGACTTTTTTTAGAATTAGGTTTTGAAATTCGCCGCCCTTACCATCACCTCCTACGCCCTTAGGAAAATACGTCTCTGAGTCTTAATAAGAGCTCGTGTTAAGATTGGATAGCTAAACTCACATATTTCGCAGATGTATTTTTTCTTTCTTGGTATCTTAATTTATTTACTTGCCAATTTGATCCACTAATTGAACATTTATAATGAATTATATATTTCGTTTTTATACACTTTCAGTATTAAAGTTGTTGAAATAGTAGGCTGGAGCGTTGCGCTGTGAAAATATCACACCGTTGTGCTATCTGGCTTATAGAAAATAAATTTATCAGTCCTTACTGACTAGGGTGTGAATTTTCCATCCACCATTTGAGCTACTATTTCATCAGTTGTCCTGCGTGCCCTGCACTTCTTGCATTGCATCAAACACAAAACAGAAAGAACACCAAATTGACCAAATTCCAAATGTCTCACCTTTCATCTAAATCCAAATTCAAATTAGTTTGATGACATGACATGACAGATGGGGTTTGATCTAATAGCGTTTTCCACTCATCTGCACTTCTGCACTCAGTGTGCACTGAGACTACTTCCATCTTTTATTATTCTATTTGATAGTAGAGGATGGACTTATTCTCAGTGCGCATTGAGTGCAAAAGTGCAAATGAGTGGAAAACGCTGTAAGACTAAGTGCGTTTGCTGCCATCTAGCGGCAAGCGGAAAAAGTGTGAAATTAACAATCGTAATCGCGAATGCAGCTAAGAGCTCGCCCTCTGGCGGTGACAAGTGATACTAGCGAAACAAGATAAATATTTCTTCTGTGTGTGACATTTCGTTTTGTATTTTATTTAAAACTGAATTTAGTGTTCGTTTTTTGAACACTGTTATTTTAAGAAAATAGTGTGAGGAAAATTTCAGCAATTATGGATAGAAAGAAGAAACTGTCAAACTATTATTGTTCCGTTCAAGGTTGCTCTTCATGGTCCAAGAAAAATCCAGAATTAAGTTTTCATCAAACCATTGAAGAAATTTTCAAAATATTATTGCCGATAGATAATACTCCCTGAATTTCATGAGGGTTGTTAGTAATTAAGGGCACTAGTCTGCAGACATAATATAAATTTCTAAATTTAAATTAACTTTGCGCAATTTTCCCATATAGTACCACATGATCAGCCTTAAAAACTGCCTCTCCTAATATATAACGAGAGTTTTCGTTAGCATATATGTAAATAGGAAATGTATTCCACAACGGATAAGTTCATAGTTATAACTTAATAAAATGTACATTACATTGTAATGCTAGACAAATAAAGTAGACATAAATACTTGCCTTAAAATTTATTTATGAAATTTTTGAAACCTATAAAATAACACAAAAGTGAAATAACCGCAGTTTGATAACAAAATTACTATTAATAATGGCAAATAAGACAAATGTTGTTCAAATGAATGTGTAAACGCGAACGGCAATGTCAAAATTACCTTGTTTCGGAGCTTACTGCTTTCGCCGCTTGGTGCGCTTGCATCTTAAAAATTATCGCGGATAG